GTATGTGTGTATGTATGTGTGTATGTATATATGTACAAACACAAATACATATATAGATATATTTTCGTAGATTTTCACGGGTACAGGTATGTAGGTTTTGGTGTATTCGGGTCTTTCCCTGTTCAAGGTTGAGAGTTTGACCAAGATACTCTCAATCTTACATGGGAAAAGACCTGAATATACCAAAACCTGCATATATATGTATGTGTGTGTGTGTGTGTGTGTGTGTGTGTGTGTATGTATATGTATATATAATTTATATATATAAATAAATTACTTGGGGATTATGAGAAACCCACAGCATTTCCATGAGCATTTTGCTGCCTTCCCTTTTATGTTCCTCACTAGTTAGTATTCACTGATTTTTAGTAAACTTTTCCCATCTGTACCTGATATGATCTCATTATATTATCAAATTTGGACTGTCTTCTAACTCTAAAAACATCTGCTATATTTCTTATCAACTTGGGAAGAAGGAATGGAAGAGATTTTAAGCCATACTGAGCCATATAAATTTATAGCACATAATTTTATAAATAAAAATGGGTGCCATTTGGGTGTTTGTGTATGTGCACATATACATGTAATTTGATTATACGAAAGAAAATAGAGATTAGTTTTTTGACATGACAGCCCAGATCACGTTTGGCAAGGCTAAACTCTCCGGATTGATCTATTGTGTGTTTACAGGCACTTTGCAGTGGCTCAGCTTTTTGTGATTTTACTAAAGAAAGATTTCTGTGAACCAAAATAAAATGTTAATTTATTCAAGTGAAAAACTAGCAAGTTAGTACTAAATAGAATTGTAATGATTCTCTTCTGTATAGTGGGTAGATTTTTAAGAAAACTAACATTCAGTTATCTGAAGCTCAGTGTTGCTAAGGCTTTTGGATTTTACATGCTAAAAACAGCAGCCAATAAATGTAGACCAGTGTCATTTTTGTGACCAGCATACAAAGCTGTGGTTATACCAATAAACCACCTAGAGAAGGAACTTCTGAACTTGTCTGCCATTGCTTAAGTTTCCTGTTTTTCTTTTTTTTATTATCGAGATTGTTGAAGTTAGATAACTAAAAAAAATATTTTGAAATATTTATGTTTTACTTGATTGGTACATACTGTTAGAAAACAAATTAAAGTCTTATTAAATGTTTTGCCATAAGTTTTGTTGTGTGACTATTTGAAAATAATTGTTAATATATCTCTTCAATAATATATGTTTCAGAAAATAATTTGGAAGCAAATGAAATGGAAGAAGAAGAAGAAGAAAGCTATTGGAAAATAAAAGTTTTACCAATTTTACATATATTAGAGATTGGTAAATATTATTGTTCCATAAAATTTGTTTGGGTTTCATAAACTAGACTTTTCAAGGCTTAATTTTATTCTAATAATATTTTTTCCTATTACCAATTTTAAACAGTCCTGTTGCTAGCAAGATAGCCTATATTCCTGCTCTTACTTTAGACTGGGGGCAAAGTGGGATGGAGATATAAAGATGTATTTGCAAGGTTTAAAAGTCAGTTAACAATGCATATGATAAGTATTCAAAGTGGCTTTAAATATTAATGATATATACTAGAAGTAGGCTACCTGTTACATTTTAGATGTTTTGAATGACAAACCCCATATTAGGAATTAAAAGACCAAAATGAGACCATATTTGTGGGTATTTTTTTTCTAATTGTAACAAATACAAACCATTACTAAATACAGGTAACCCCCAGGTTATGAGTGTTTCCTTAGTGAACGTTTGAAGTTACGCAATAAGCATTTCATAGTGTTTACAAACACATCCCAAAACTACAAATGTTGCAGCATCAGAGGAGTTGTTCACCCTTACGAACAACCGCAGAGGTTCTGCAACATTTGTCCTGCCTATTCCCCTCCGCCCCGCACTTTGGCATATTTGAGGCCATGTTTCAAAAATAAGTAGAGCCATGACCTGTTTTGGAAATGGTTTTAGGAATTTTAAGAGGTGAAATGAATGCCTTAAGAAATTGAGCCAGGGTGGCACAGTGTTTAGAGTGCTGTACTGCAGGCTACTTCTGCCGGCTGCCTGTAATTTGGCTGTTCAAATCACACCAGGCTCAAGGTTGACTCATCCTTCCATCCTTCTGAGTTGGGTAAAAATGAGGATCCAAAATTGTTGGGGACAATATGGTGACTCTAAACCGCTTAGAGAGGGCTGTAAAGCACTGTGAAGAGGTATATAAGCTTAAGTGCTATTACTATCTACCAAGTATAATATATTTATTTGACTCCTTCAGTTCCCTCATCTTAACATCAGCGCAAAGAAGCCCCATATTTTTGATCCCATATCTCTGGGAGAACTGTATTGCCTATGGAAAGGATGCTAGCAGATTACACCTGATCCTAGTTTGGTATCTAGTTGAAGACAAATGCATACTCTTTCTAGGAAAGGTAGGGATAGTCACATAAACATATATTAGAATGATACCGACCAAAAGCTATTTATTTAGTTTTTATTCCAGGATCATTTTCAGAAGGAGTACTGAACTTCTCCAGTTGTGTCCATAAAAAATTTAAATAGCTGTGTTTGTTGATAGTGCAGGTTTTGTGGTATTTGTTAAAAAAAGTTACTTTCTCCCTCTTTAAAATACTTGATCGCTAATTTACTTTCTGCTTTTTTTCAAATCAAATAGAAAACAATGTAGAAAGACTTTGCGATGCCTGCACTATTCTTTATCAAACACTGGAAGAAGGAAATATGCTTGGCAAGCGATTCAAGAGACGAAATTTACTGTTGAAGATGTTATATAAATTAGTTGATGTTACTTCAGATCCTCTTGGCTTGAAATTAGCAAAAATCATTCTGGGTGTAAGTTAAATATGTCATACCTGTTACAGAATGTGATTATAGGATACTTGTATGAATGTGGTAGTTATATCCTGTGAAATATGACTAAACGTTAACTACTAAATCAATTTTTCACAAGAGATTGCAAAACTCAATTTTGCAGTGTTCAAAATTACACTTAATTTTCTTTTGTTTACTTAAAATCCAGGAGATTAACAGTGCAGTTATTCCTTTGTCTACTTAGAATTTAGTTTACTTCCAAGTAAATAAATATAGAATTTCAACCCAAGTGATAGCACACAATAGTAGACAAAAATACTATGTGCTCATTCTAGTCGATTTTTTTGAACTAAACTGTATGCCAAAAAGAGCTACACTTTGTGAGAGTTTTTGCTTTCAAGGCATAACAACAAATGCCTTCGTTTGAATATATTTACTGGAGTCCTAGAATAAATCATAAACTACATTCCCTGACTTCATTCTTGATTGGTTGAATATCAAAGGGATAGATAGCAGAAGAAACTCCAGAGGAAAACAAATATTCATTATTATAGTGTATGATATCTCTCCTAAACCATTCAAAAATTTATACAACATTTTTACAAAGTGCTGGCAATTGTTACTATCATATCATGCTTGTGTAATTTGTGATATACTATTTAATTTATTTGAAAATATGTTTGTCATAGTTGTAACTGAGACATTTGTCAGGACCTTCTAATCATCACCTAGTAGCTATGCCATACTTTTAAGAACTTGTTGCAAAGTTTTTAACAATTTTCTACTTTCAACAACTTTTCCATTCACACATTCAGAATGGTATGCTGGATTCAAGTGATGAGAAAATGTATTCATCAAGGAAATTAGGATTCTCTATATGTGCGTGGGTATGCAATTATCTGTGTGGATAACAATGATTACATTTTTCTTCCTGTAATGTAGTGTCTAAAGCAGGATTATTTCAGTTAGAATTACCCAAATGCATATAACATGGGAACTGATTTAATGTCATTAGATTAACCAGCATTTTGCAGATAGTTTTATATCACATTCAAGTACATTGGATATAACAGGAAGCCCTGTTTTATATGATGTAGTATTGAATGCTGGACCTGGTGTATAAATGGAATACCTGTCTTAAGATTGTATTGAAATTTGTTTTCCACTTTCTTTCTTGTAGATTTTTTTCCGTCTCCATTAATCTTGGATTAGATAAATGGCTGTCATATGTTGATCATTTGATATGGGAGCTCTTATCTGAGTACTTGTTTTGGAATACGTTTGAAAGCTGTGATAAGACTGCAAATGTTTCTAGTTTCAGTTAAGTGCAGCATGTACATATAGGTAGTCCTTGACTTACGACCACAATTGAGCCCAACATTTCTGTTGCTAAGCAAGACCATAGTTAAATGAATTTTGCCCCATTTTACAACCTTTCTTACCAGAGTTGTTAAATGAATTACTGCAGTTATCAAGTTAGTAACACAGTTGTTAAGTGAACTTGGATTCCCCATTGACTTTGTTTGTGAAAAGGTCACAAAAGGTGATCACATGATATGGGACACAACAGAAATAGGAAGCAGTTGCCAAGCATCCAAATTTTGATCACAGAACCATGGGGATGCTGAAATGGCAAGTGTGAAAAATGGTACCAAGTCACTTTTTCCAGTGCAGTTGTAACTTTAAATGGACATGAAATGAATAGTTGTAAGTCAAGGACCACCTATAATATGAGCTGTGTGGCATATCTGCTGTTAAAAGAACAGCTAAAACATAAGGTATAGTTATTTAAGATATATTTTCTTTTCCATTTTTCCTTATAGCTGAAAGTGAGTGGGAAGAATCTGCTTAATGTTTGCAAATTAGTATTTAAAATCAGCAGAAGTGAAAAAAATGATTCCCTTATTGAGAACGACCAAATATTGGGTAGGTAAATATGCTATTCTGTGATTGAGTAAAATGCCTTTTATAATGTGGAAAATATAATATATTTGCTGTGGGGGAATATGAAACTGCCAGATATTTCAGTATAAATATGATTTCAACCTGCGTTTTGGTGTTAATTTTTTTCTGATTCTAATTTTTCCTATTCTAAATGTTTTTGAAGCTAATGAAAATAATACTAGCTAATCAGAAATAGAAATATTATTACTGGGTAGGAACTAGATATAAAAATTGCAACTGGAATCCAAGAAAAATATATAGAGAGAAATGAAAAGTAATCACCAGGCTTATTCTTTGATCTCTGTTTCATCGTGGAATCTAAGTAACATATTTCAAAAGCAATTAGAAAGATATTGTTTGACTTCTCCCCACCTGATTTAGCTAAATTACATTTTTTCTGCATCAAAGGATGTAAGGCATTTAAATGGTGAATGGGAGGGAACTTAAATTATAATCCTAATTTACATGATACATTAATACTTTGTTTAAACATTGCACACAATTCTTTCATCTGGAATTTTGGGGCAAGAAAATGGTAACATTTTGGATCTGATTATTGTTATTCAGACTTAGCATTAATGACCTTTTAGTTAATCAGACTGTGGCATGTATTGCAACATGCATTTCACTTTCATAAAATTGCTAATTATGTTTATCTTTTGAAATTCCTAAACTGTTGTTATAATTGAAAATTTAGAACTTTTAGGCAACTTGGTAATGAAGTATTGAAATATTTTCATCCACCAAAGAATGGGCTAGAATGTAAAAAAGAATGTTGATTTGTATCCTGTCATCTTAATAGGTGATTAATTCAAGGAAATACTTTTGTGTTTATAGGGTAATCTAAAGAATGTTAGCAAGCATTGGGTATCAATATCTATATGTTGGAAGTACAGGTGGTTTTTGACATGTCCACAATTTGGCCCAATATTTCTGTTGTTAAGTGAGACATTTGTTAAGTGAGTTTGCCCCATTTTACGACCTTTCTTGCCACAGTTGTTAAGTGAATCACCACAGTTGATAAGATAGTAACACAGTTGTTAAGTGAATCTGGAGTCTCCATTGACTTTGCTTGTCAGATGATTGCAAAAGGGGGATCACATGACCTTGGGACACAGCAACCATCATAAATATGAGTCAGTTGCTAAGTACCTGAATTTTTATCACATGATGCTACAAAGGTCATAGTGTACGGTTATAAATCCCTTTTTTCAGTGCCATTGTAACTTTGAATGATCACTAAATGAACTGTTGTAGACTGAGGACTACCTGTGTAAAATTATGAAATGAAACATGTTTAAAACTTGTTCTATAATTTAGTTTAATAATCATATGATTCATATGATGCTGGAAAGAGAAATATAATATAATATAAATACATTATTGTGCTATTAATTATATACTGACAATTTGGAATGCATTGAAATATAAAGAACTCTGAATTTATTTGTGTGTGTGGTCAGTAGCTAAAAAGATGTTTGCTAAAAAGATTTTGCTACATCTGATTTCAAATGCTAGATTGAAGATAAGTGTTAGCAATCGAAAGAGTGGTCAATATTACTCCACATGGTCAAAGTTTGTAACTTATAATCTGAGTTGGTCTTCCTCTCATTCTCTCTCTATATGTGTTTGTGTTTTTATTTCTGTTTAATGTGCCTTTAATTTTTTTCTCTTTGTTTTTAAATTAAAGTAAGGCAGTTGAATCAAAAAGTAAAATCTCTGCATAGCTGGGTATTACTATCAGGAAGACAAGATACTTTTTAGCTGACATAAGACACATGATTAGTACCTACTAATAATCAGAAATAATTAGTCTGTAATTATTTTTATTATTGTGACGAAGACTTTTCATTATATGCAACTTCCATTTAAGCAAATCAAATTCTGTGCTGATTTTCTTTTTGAAAATGGACCCTCTTGCAATCACTAAGGGCTATATTTGCAAAAGGGAAATTTCCATTGCTTTGCCCTCATCAAAAACTTTCCTGGACTCAGGAGAACATTTAATCTAGGCCTTGGATTTGGGATATGCTCACATAGTTACAATGGAAAAAAAGCAGCCAGAAATAGCTTGTATAAACGTAAACTCCACTGTTGCAAGTTCCTTCTCTTCAACAGATTTCCTAAGCTATTTCTCTTCCTTATCCCTCATCTGAATTATTGCAGTGGTAGCTAGTAAATTAATCTTGAGCAACTGTCTTTACAGTCCCATTGAATGCCTTCATTCAAAGTACTTTAAATAAATAATGACACAAAATTATTTATTTATTTGATCCATTTTATATTGCTTAGTATATCACAAATTTTACTGTAATTTTGTGTACAATAATCAATAGTTTAGGAATTAATTAATTTGAAAAATGAATACGGCTTCCCATTTCACTCATGGTGACTCTGGGGCAGCTTAGTTAAAAAGTTATTACCTTATTTGACAGCTCCTTTGGGGGAAAAAAAGGCCTGGAATGAACTAAACCTCATTCTGCCGAGCGGGGAGGGGAGAGAATTGCACTGGAGAGGAAGAATCTCATCATGCTAAATTTTTTTATAGACTCTCTGCTTGAGATTCTGAAAACTGAAGATTTGCAAACAAACACTGAAGCTTTTCTTTATTGCACTGGTGCTATAAAATTTATTTCTGGCAATGCGAGTCTCATTAATGAAATGGTCAATAAGGGAGCTATTGAAATCCTGCTGCAAGTAATGAGAATGATTAATGAAATTAATGAAGATGGTATTCGATTTTCCAGTTCAGGACATCTCTTGGTCCAGGTCAGAATTACATTTTTATTTCAATTATTCACTTATTTTAGTGTATTGAACTAAAAATTTTCAAACTTTCTAATGGTGTTCCCTTGCCAGGGTTTGACTCTTGGTGGACTGTTCAAGTATTTTTTTCTTAACACTATTGTGGAAGTGTTTGTTGCTACTTTTGTTCTGAGATATTTTCCAAGTATTCAGTCTAGTCTATATTATTCCAGTTCTAACTTTGGGTTACCTTGGTGAGTTTTTCTGAATTATCTAAAGCAATCTAAGGTGCAGCAGGCGCTTTAACTTAATAGTTCTAGAATGGTCTATAACACGGGTATTAAACTTGCTGTGTCATGTTGCCATTGTGTGACATTTCACAATGTTTTATCCCTTCGCTAGCTGAGGTGGCCGTTGCCTGTGCATGACGCATCTGGCCCACAGGCCGCCAGTTTGACATCCCTCATCTATAATGTCCATTATTGGAAACTGATAAATTGTTACTAGAATTATTGGAAAATTCTTACTACTGTACATACCAAAGGAATAGTGAATAAGGCATTCCTATCCTGTTGTGTCCTCCTGCCATGTGCAGAAGCTCTAACTGTGTACTTACTGAATCTGGGTCTTGTATTTATCTATTTCATTTTACTTTATATATAAAATATTTATATAGCGCCTCTTGTCTAAGATTAAGGCAGCATGGTTACTTCTTTCTGATAAGAGTACAACAACCACAGTAGCTCATGGTATTGTGTCAGTATAACATTCCTTTCTTGGAACAAACAGTTAAAATTAAGACTCATTGAAGTAGAGAGATACAAGCCTAGTGGGTCTCTGTTCAGTTGTGAAGTGAGTTAAAAATAAGTCAAAGATAGATGGCATAGTTTGGAATCTGTCATTTAGGGAGCTACATTTGATGGGATGTTATGTGGCATGCCTTCTTGGCTATGGCACCTGCATTGTGCAATATCCCCTCCACTGACACAATCACTTCTGACTCTCTAAAGGCCTCTCAAGAACTGCTTGTTGCCAGCTGAGAACTGGTAAGCTAGTAAGATGGCCCTCTCATTATAATCTCTTCACCCATGATTTGTTTTAGCTGTGTTTTATAATTGTTAATGTTATCAATAATAATAATTGCTGTTATTTGTAAACTATTTTTTTTAAATTTCTTCTACTCCACTGAGAGTCCCTTGTATTGTAAGATGGACAATCCTATAAATTTGATAAATAAAATAGAAGCAGCAGCTCCGAACGATGAATAAAGTTATAAGTAGGTACGTTTTTAACAATAAAGCCTGTATCATTGTTTCATATTTTGAAGTTTAAACAACCTACATTATTTTAAATTTTCCACAGAGCTTCACACTACTGCCATCAGAGGAAGGCTGTGCAAAATTTAGTTACATTTCCTAATAAAATTATGTTTACCGTGTTTGTTTAATTCATATTTAAATGTATTTTCTTTAGCTCACTGCCACTTTACGAAACTTGGTAGACTTACTTCAGTCAAGGTGCAAATTCCTTGAGTATGGAGCTATTCCAGAGCTCTGCCTCACATTGGAGAAACGTATGAGTGACAAAGATGTATGTACCAATGTGGCCAGAATATTCAGGTAACCCCACTGTTTTTTTTAAAATACAATGTAGATCTTTTTGCTTCTTCAAGCAACCATGTCATTATCTATTGAAGTGGTTGCTTCCATGGAGATACTGTTTATATTTCTGTTGAAATACTTTGTATCAGTATAGCGGTTAATTCCTGAACGATTGTCTTGGCTCGCTTTTTTGAATAAGAAAACACAAATCTTCTGCAATCCAAACAGAAGTAGGCCACCCAGTCTGCTGGACGCCCTTGAGTACATTATCTTTTTTGACTTGTGGTTTCTGTTAAGAGTGTTAGTATTTCTGTCCCTCACCCAGCCAGCAGATAATGTGGTGGGAAAGGATTATTGTTCTTTGCTTCTAATGCTGTAACCTGCTTTAGGATTGCTATAAGAGAGGAGGAAGAAACGTTATTGCTTCCTCCTTCTTTATAGCAACCATGTTCAAGATTGTGGATTTTTAAAATGACTGCAAAATAGAAATCAAAATCATTAGGCATGAAGAGCATAAGACCTCTTCCATTGTCCCTTTGAAATATTGTCGCTTTTCACTGTTAAATATGGTGCAGTACTAATTTTGAGTTGTTTTATTGGGAAGGGATTAAGTTCTGCCTACTCCCTAAAAGATCTTATACTGAATACTACTGTGTCTGTCTATGTGAAGGTGTATTTGAATGGATATATATGTATGTGCAAGCAACCAATAGATATGGCCTCAGGTTACTAACTTAACTCACCCATGCTCTAAGGCAAAGGTCATCAAAAACATCCCCATAGGAGTGAATTAGGGGCATTGTTTGGGTAATACACAAAACTTCTTATATTCCATCCCTTGTGTGATTTCTTCAGAAAAAGAATGCCACTATATTAAAGAGGAAATCTGTCTCCTGTAGAAGTGGCCATTGGCAGCAGGCAGCATTTAAGACTGAATACAATAATACGTTGATTTTTTTTTTTCTGTTCAGTAATCCATAATTAAATGGTCCAGTAAAACAGGTCAAGGTCTTCTTGCCATCAGCTGAGGGCCTCAGGACTTTGTTTCGCCGTCACTGCTGTTGTTACTTCTTTTATTCCTTCTCATAAAAAATATACCACTTTGCTTTACCGCAGCCACTTCCTGTATGTGGGACTCCCTTGGTACACTCTGAGTTTGGTGGTTTTCTTGCAGACATTTCATTATCCAAACTAGGTAACATCCTGGGTGCACTGATGATGTTACTTAGTTTGGTAATGAAACGTCTGCAAGAAAACAACCAAGCTCAGAGAGCACCAAGGATCTCAACCCTGAGCTACAAACACTCTCCTTTATTGGTACTTCCTCGTGTTTTTTGCTGCTGCATCATCCTTGGCTGCTGCCGCTTTGTCTTTCCTGTTGAGGTGCTTGAAGATGTTTGTGTTGTCTGCAAGAAATCATAATGGTACTCAAAGAAACAGTAGCGGGATTTGGGGTTATCTTCTACTAGCAACGTAAATTACCGTATTTTTTGCACTATAAGACACTCCGGACCATAAAATGCACCTAGCTTTTGGGAAGGAAAACAAGAAAACAAATCCTGCCTCTGCCTCCCAGCAATTTGCCTCATTGCAGCAAACAGCAAACAGCCCTGGTCAGCTTCAGCACAGCCTGATTTAGCACAAGCAGCTGATTGGTGGTTGAATTGGCCTCCCATACCACCACCTATCAGCTGTTCTAGTCTGTGGGGATCGCTGCTGCCTATCACTGCCTCCGCACGCCCATTTTCAGTCTCTGTGTGCTCCATTTTCGGCCTCTGCGCGGCCTATTTTCGGGCCATTCCAGGTGGCGGGGATCCCACCTGGATGTGTGAAGGCAGCGATAGGCAATGGCAGCAGTGGGTGGTGAAGATGGTGATGGCCGGTGGCGATCCCCACAGCTTGAAACAGTTGATTGGAGGTGTTCCAGGAGGCCGATCTAACTACCAATCAGCTGCTCATGCTAAATCGGGCTGTGCTGAAGCTGACCAGGCTGTTTGCTGTAAGGAGGCAAATTGCAGGGAGGCAGAGGCTGAAGGGTGGGGGCCGGTGGGTGGGCGGGGCTTCAGCAGCATTCACTCTATAAGACGCAGACATTTCCACCCACTTTTTTTGGGCGGGGGAGGCGGAATGTGTCTTTTAGACCTAAAATACAGTAAGCTTTTGATTGTCATTATTCCTTGTGATAGAATTGGGGTTTTTTAGTCATCAAAGTCATAGCCACTTGTTTCTTTAATTGTTACTTCTATTGAGCTGTACAAAAATAGAGAATGCTGGCCTTTTCATTTTGTACTATGAATAATGTTTAAAACCAAAACAAAATACTTAGATTTAAGTTGGAAATCATAAAAGAAAAATTCATCTATATTATTGTTTCAAACATGCAGCAAACTTTCATCCTTCAATGACTGCTGTACAGCTTTGGCAGATTGCTCCAGATGTTATGCCTTATTTTTAGCCCTGCTAAACAAATATCCAACAAAGCAGGTCAGTTTTTTAATCTCCTGGTTTTTTTTATGTATTTTAATCCTTTAATGTGCCTGTGGTGTTGTATGTATGTTAGTCCATTTTTAGAGACAAATTCCATGTGTATTTTCCAGATAGAAATGAATGCCTTTAGCCATTTAGGCACTTAGAAATAGGTTCCTGGTACAATACAGTCCTTTACTTATCATCACAATTAGGACCAGAATTTCTGTTGCTAAACAAGATGGTTATTAAGTGAGCTCCACTTGATTTTATGACCTCTTTTGTCATGGTTGTTAAGCGATCACTGCAGTTGTTAAATGAATCACCTGGTTATTATGTGAATCTAGTTTCCTCCATTGACTTTGCTTGCTGAAAGCCAGTTGGGAAAGTCACAAATAGTGATTGCATGGCCTTGGGATGCAACAACCTTTGTTGTAAGTCACTTTTTTTCAACGTTGTAACTTTGAACAGTTACTAATAGTTGTAAGTCAAAGACTAAATGTTGATGTAGATAGTACAAACCTCCTACTTACTGAGATGTAATAATAGAGGGGAATCTACAGATTTAAGGGCTTGGGAGTTTCTTGGTTGTGAAGATTCTGTATTTTTTTAGCCAAAAATGGAATGAAAAAAACAATAAATAACAGGAAAAAATGATATTTAAATAATAGGGATGCATTAAAACAAATAATGTTTTCATAATAAGAACAGATTTAATGTTTCTTTTGACCGTGTTGCTATGTGACGATCCCACTTCATTACAAATTGACGTAACTATATATTTTTACTTGTGTCAATTTTTAATGTGGTAATTTATACTGAAAGAGTCAGTAAGGCATCAGGTTAGAAACAAGGAGGTCTTGAGTTCTAGTACCACCTTAGGCAGGAAACCAGCTAGGTGACCTTGGACCAATCGTGCTCTCTCAGCCCCTGAGAAAGAGGCAATAGCAAACCACCTCTGGAAAACCTTGCCAAGAAATTTGTAGGTTCTAATCTAGGCAGAAATCAAACTGGCTCAAAAATACACACACCTCTCTCTTAATGCTAATTCCATTATTATTGTTGTTTTGGATGTCTATGCCATAACAGTGGAATCTTTTCCCTTCTTTTACTATGAATTACTACAGAGGAGTACTGATGCACACAAGGCAGAGTATGGATTATTCCAGAGTGTATCAGTACACTTTATTAAATGGTAATGTGCTCAATTCAACTGAGTAGTGATATTTATTCAGATATACGTAGTCCTATTCCGATTCTATTGTATCTTTTTTAAAATCTGTTTTGAGAACTGAATAATGGGACTCTGTTGACTAGCAAGTCCTAACCCTGATTCTCTTATGTGGAAAATGAAGATGTTTCAATGTGTCAGTAATAAATTCTTATTAGTAAGGGTTGTTTGGAGTAAATGTTGTTATTAGCTGCGAAGTTGTGTCCAACCTATCACAACCCCATAGACAACGTTCCTCCAGACCTTCCTGTCCTCTACCATCCTCTGGAGTCCATTTAAGCTCACGCCGACTGCTTCAGTGACTCCATCCAGTCACCTCATTCTCTGTTGTCCTCTTCTTCTTTTGCCCTCAATCTTTTCCAGCATTAGGCTGTTCTCCAGTGAGTCCTTCTTTCTCATTAGGTGGCCAAAGTATTGGAGTAAATACACAGATATAAAACTTTTAAGATGAGAATGAAGTTAATAATAATAAGCCTAGCTAATCATTGTTTAGTACTTCCTAATTCTCATTAGGTAGCCAATAACTTTTAACAGTATTAGAAAATGGGCATCTTGAAGTTCATTGTTCTGATACAATACATTAGTGCTTGATGCATCTATTATATTCTTTTATGCAGAAAGGAATCATTCAAAAATTATATCTTTATGTTAATATTACATGTTATAATAGAAGATAATTATGTCTTAAAGATAAAAGTGAATCAGTTTTCAAAATAAGTTTTTCTTTGCTAAGTATTTGTTTCAGACAACATTTGTTTGTTGTACATTGTAGTTTGTAGTTGGGTAGTGTGGTGTTGAGATATGATTTTATTGAAATCTGTTATAGATGTGTTATAAATGTGTGCTTAGAATTGTGGGAAGTTATGTTTTGAAAATATTGCTAGAGATTATATGCTTCTGTAAGGAATGTTTTATGTCATTTGTATATGTAACTATGATAGATAAATAAAATCATGCTTGGTTGCATTTTGCATTCATTCACTTTTGTACTTCTAAGTATGAACTGTTTATTGAATATTGAAAATTATAGATTTTCATTTACAGCAAATTATTTCTTTCTTATGTTCAATTTCAGGACTTAGTTATCCGTATCATTTTCATTCTTGGCAATTTAACAGCAAAAAACAATCAAGCCCGGGAACAATTTTTTGAGGAGCAAGGAAGCATTGATACACTCATAGCACTTTTCCAGACTTACCTTGAAAAGGTTCCTAATCATAAAGTGTGGAAAGATGGTGAAATAAAGAATCTCAGACACCCTTCTGAAGCAGAAGACATTCTCATTAAGCTGATAAGAGTGATTGCCAATCTGTCCATTCATCCAAATGTAGGTTCATCTTTGGCAACTAATCATCACATTGTGGCATTACTTATTACAGTACTTGGTAAGAACTGCTTTTGAATATATAATCTGTAGAAGACAAACCATCAGTGTTAAAATCATTTGGCTGACATTATGTCAGACTTCCCAGCGCCAATGTACATTTTCTGAAAGCACTAAACACTCTTAGAATTGTTGCTCGGCCACCTTCCTGAGCTATAAGTAAATGCTTTCATTATGTTAGAGAATTTCTTGAATTTTTTAAAAAGATTCTTGGGTACCCATGCCCAACGGATAATCCAGATCTGGTCATGTCAGTTGGAATTAAAATCTAACATAACTTGAGGGCACCAGGTTGGGAAGGGTTGGAAGGTTCAGAGATATAGAACTAGATGCATAGTTAAAAGTTCACCATTATCTATCTATCTATCTATCTATCTATCTATCTATCTATCTATCTATCTATCTATCTATCTATCTATCTATCNTATCTATCTATCTATCTATCTATCTATCTATCTATCTATCTATCTATCTATCTATCTATCTATCTATCTATCATCTATCTATCATCTATCTATCTTTTATCTGTAAACTCATTGACTGTTTCAGTGTCCTGCTATTTAATCCACATCCTGGAAAACATGTGTTAGTTGTATTCTGTATAAAGTGGCCATTTTAAATGATGGATTTCAATTTGCTTTGGCTGCATCGTAATTGTGTAGCCCATAAAGACCATTATAATTGGGACAGCATTCCTGTAATTCTTTGTTTCAATTCTGTGCATTTTAAAAAATATGGTGACCATTATCTAGATGGTACCAATTGTATCAGCTGATCAGAAATTAGAAAAGAGAGTTGGCAGGAATTTTGTCTTCAATTTTTTTTCTTTGCTTTTTTCCAAACTTTCCAAGGTCTTGCTGGGCATATCATGTATTCAGATGTCAGTGTGAAGGGCTTCTCCTGAAAAAAAATCTACGTGGCACTAACAGTCAACATTGACTTTGTGCCACCTAATCAATCAATCTATGAAGGACTTCAGTAAAATGAATGTGTACATCTACTTGTATAAAAAACACACGATTTCACACTTTGAAATGGCCTCAGACAAAAAGGCTGAATTCAGCACCAGAATTTTATTGAAATATTGCCAGTTCCTTATTACAGCAGTTAATTGGCTTTATTTTATGATCTCAGTGTAACTTTTTATAGTAGAATGACTGATTATGATGAGCTACATAATTGGTATCGTGATAAAAGACTGAAGTCTTCTCTTCTAAATCTCTAGAGTGCAAGTCGGTTGAGGAATGTGAGGAACTGGTTATTAATGCCATTGCAACAATCAACAATTTATCCTTTTATCAAGTGAAGAATTCCGTAATCCAAGAGAAGAAATTACATATTGCAGAATGTAAGGGTATTTTAAAAGTTAATTATCTCATCTTTCTATTACATGGTAACAGACAGTATTGCTTATAAATAATATAGGTTTGAATGAAAAATCATAAAAAGGAGCTGATGTAATTTAATAACTTTTTCAGACAATTTTGTAATGATAAAGCTGGCCCAATTTGGCTTAATCTTTGTCATGTTTGCTTTTATTGATTAGCCTTATAAATGTTGAATTTGTAAGCTGGTTGATTAGCATATTACCACCCTTTCACTAGTTTGTCTTTTGTTTTTGTTCCTAACTCATGTCAAAGGTTTGACTAGTGTAAAACATTATTCTTTGATTCTATAGATAATAAAGCTGAACTGCACATCACTCAAAGATGTCAGATGAGATCTCACGGAATAAAATTTTCAGACACACAATATGTTAATAGGGATTTTCTGTTTTTGTAGATATTGTTCTTCTAGCATCTCTCACAATTGGCTGTGCTGGCTGAGTTTGCCAGAACTTGCTGTTCAGCATCTTTTGAAAGGGCGGAAACGCCACAACTCTGATATGCATGGTATTTTTAAAAGTTGGAGTCTTTGTTTACAAGAGATTTAGCAATAAAGAGGAAAGATAACTTCCTGATTAAGTAAGAAAAATGCCAAGATTGTCTGGATATTCAGTAAGATTAGTAGAGGTTTGTCAGCAGATAAGGAACAAAGGCAGAAAAAATAATTTATTTTTCGGTATATAAGATGCACCCTCCCCAAAAAACGTGGGTGGAAATGTCAACCTCCCAGCAATTTGCCTTTCAGCAAACAGCCTGCTCAACTTCAGCAGAGCCTGATTTAGCACGAGTAACTGATTGGTGGTTGGATTGGCCATCTGGAATTCCACCAATCAGCTGTTCTAGGCTGCGGGGATCGCCGCCACGGCCTACCACCACCTCTGTGTGCCCCATTTTCAGCCTCTGTGCATCCCATTTTTGACCTCTGCACATCCCATTTTTGGCCCGTTACAGGCAGTGGGGATTGCTGCCGCTGGCTGGAACAGGCTGAAAATGGGATATGTGGAGGTTGAAAACGGGATGGGTGGAGGCTGAAAATAAGGCGCGCAGAGGCCAAAATTGGGGTGATTGGCGGTGGCGATCCTCGCAGCCTGGAACAGCTGGTAGGCGATATTCTGGTAGGCCAATCTAACCATCGATCAGCTGCTCGTGCTAATCACGCTGTGCTGAGGCTGACCAGCCTATTTGCTGTTTGCTGCAAGGAGGCAGATTACTAGGAGACAGAGGCAGATTTTTTTTCTTGTTTTCCTCTGCAAAAGCTAGTTGTGTCTTATAGTCCTTATCGTGTGAAAAATACGGTAGTTATATCAAAATGTATACAGTCCTAGTCTAATTGTATGTTTCAGTGAATAAGTAAAAATAAACTGGCATAACCTCTGAATGGTGCAAGGTTAAACACATCATCTTTGTGCAAATTTAACCGCACACCTATTTGTGTGCAATAGTGAACAGGTTCAAAGTTTAAAAAAATCGCCAGTAAATATTGCGGATACAAAAGTTTCAAAATCTTTTCGGTGGACATTTTGAAATACCTCCTTTGGCAGAAAAAAAAGAGCTTTCAAACATTTTTGGTAATGATGTAAGAAAAACTTTTGGAACTTTTCCTTGGAGAACTTTTCTAAATCAGAAATATTTTAGAGTTCCTTGCATGAACTACACATTTGCGTTCTCCCTATAGATTTTCAATATTATTCATTTGTGGGTACTGTGAAAGATTGCAAAAAGCTCTCTTTACTGTAAATAGGGTTGATTTTAACATTGTCTTGCTGAAGTATCCAACGGTTTTAAACTTCAGTTTCATTGACTTTGGATATTACTTCTATACTATGTTGATATCCTGCTTTTAGTGTTAAAATTTGACCAAAGGTAACTCTAGGCATACCATTGTATAAATTGTATTTATATGTAGGTGTCATGGCACTTTTAGCCTGAAGTACAATATAATACAATACAATAGCAGAGTTGGAAGGGACCTTGGAGGTCTTCTAGTCCAACCCTCTGCCTAGGCAGGAAACCCTATACTGTTCCAGACAAATGGCATACAACACACAACAATTTCCCCTCTACTCTGAGAGGCTAAAATAAAGATGTACTCATTGCTTAATTGGCCCTTCTGGGAGACATATTAACTGCTCTGCTTTTGGAATAAGATACTTATCCCTTACAAATATATAAAATACTGTGTTTTTTTCCATTTATAGTGCTTTTAAAGATGTTAATGAGCAGTCATATGGATGGAATTCTGGAGGCTATTCGTGTCTTTGGCAATCTTTCTCAAAACCATGAAATCTGCAATTTTATTATACAGCGAAAAGGTGAGTTCCTATCCCATTAGAAATAACCATGTTACATGAAGTAACACAATATATTCACAAAATGTTGCCTGTTAGATTTGGCTTAAAACAAATGGCTGTTAAAACAATCTGCGTAGAAATAGTTCTATTAGCGAATGCTTGGAGAAAAGGTCATTAAAAGGAGATGGTTAAACTTAAGCAGAATTTGCAAAGGCAGGTATGTCATTTCATACAAGACCGTGATTGCTTCCCAAGTAAACTACATTTTACTTTTAAAAAATTGAAAATGTAACGAGACAGCAATGCATAAATTCAATTTTTTTTTTAATCAGGGGACTTTTTAAAAAGACATCAAGATTAATTGTGCTGAAAGTAGTCATACCAAGTGCTCATATTGAGATTGTTGGGATAAGCCTGTGAAAGATATGGCATTTTCATTAATTGCATAGAGAGCTGATAACTGCTGCAGAAGAGAAGTCAATATTTCAGTCCTTTAGAAGTGGCATAGCAGTATTGTAATGATGCACCTGATACAGTTATCTGTTGTTAAAAGTAAGTTTGTTCTCTTTGATTTTTCTTCTTCTGTAATCTAGTGTACAAATTCATGATTGCTTTGCTTGATGCCAAGCATCAAGATGTCTGCTTTTCAGCCTGTGGAGTTCTCCTCAATCTTACCGTGGATAAAAGCAGGCGGAGTATTTTGAATGAAGAAGGAGGAATTAAAAAGTAAGTCCTAGAAAGTAGCTGAGTCAGAAAAGATAGTGCTGAAATTCACACAGGGGCGGGGATATTGTTCTATTTTCCTACAAGGCTTCTACAAAGACACTATTTTTCAAGGGTTTATTAACAGCTATTCACCTATTATTACAACAGATTGATCGATTGCTTGAGAGATTTTGGGCCAACAGACTGGCAACTGGCTGGTTTGATATGCAAAACTTTGTGGAACTACAGTGAGAATGTTACAAGTAATGACCCCTGCTTTGAAAATGATGACTCAAACGGTCTACTAGTTCTTCTTATGACATTTCTTGGTAAGCTGTAAAAACAGTTTCTTTAATGAATGGAAATAGGACATATAGAAAATTGCTCACATGACTTTTTTTTTCTATGTAGCCCATTATTTTCTTTAGAGTCTTTCCAAGAAATCTTGCTAAGATTTTTTAGCAAGAAATCATTACTAGCAATAACAAAAAAAAAACAAAATATACTGCTTCATAGTACTTTACATCCCTCTCTAAGCAGTTTACAGAGTCAGCAAATTGCAAATTGCCTCCAACAATCTGGGTCCTCATTTTACTGACCTCGGAAGGATGGAGGCTGAGTCAAGCTTGAGCCTGGCAGTAAGCAGTGAGTTAGCCTGAAATACTACATTCTAACATGCTGCCACCATGGCTCAGAATGTTAGAACCACAGTTTGATCTAGTGGTTAAATTGTTGGACTAGGAGTTTTATTCCTGCATGAAAGCTAGCTAGGTAATATTTGGCTAGTCACTCCCTCTTGGCCTCAAGAAGGTGGCAGTGGCAAACCATCTCCAAAAATACTGCCTAGAAAACTCCATAAAATAATCAGGAGTCAAATCTGACTCAAAGGCAGGGGAAAAAATCAACTACCCAAACCTTTCGGGATATTTAAGATTTTTATGCACATTCTTTTCTTTAGATCAGGGGTG